TATACTTTCTAACTATCACCGCACAGCTAGCACCACTTTAATGAGAGCATCTCTATCCTTGCCTACTCTTTCTCTTCGTCGAAAGATATCCCGCATATGCCTGTTCCATAAGATTTATAATGATAATAATAACAATAGGAGTTTATTTTCCAACAAAGTACAGGTTGGAGGGCGGCTTGGAAAAAAAGCTGTTAGCACAGCTTGACTGGCCCCAAGCCTCCTCCCCCCCCCCCCCCGACATCAGCAGCGGCAGAACAGCAAAAAACAAATCAACATTTTTGCACGGAAGAATCATTTTCGCTCTAACCCTACTCTACGCCAAGCACTATTTTCTGAACCATTTTATATATCACCACGCAGCGATCATCAATTAAAAGTTGGCATCCCTCATTGCAGCACCTCTACCTTTAATGTCTCTTTTTTACCTCAAACCTCGATTGACTGGAACCGCCTTCCTGCAGCCATTGTAACAATCACTGCCTCATTTAACTTTAAGATTGCTATTACTAGCCTGTTCCATGATGTTTAGTAGTAAGTTTGTGTATTGTTTGCCTTTTTATTGATATTTGTTTTAGTTCATGTACAGTGCCATTACAAACCTGTTAAATGATGTTTAATAGTTATTTTGTGCAGTTTTTGCCTTTTCATTGTTATTTGCTTTGTTCTATTTACTGTGCCCCACTCCTCTCTGTAATGCCTTCGGGCCCTGAGAGACGTAATAAATGAAATGAAATGAAATGAAGTATGAATCAACGAGCGCATCCAAACAACCCAGACAACCAAGTTACGTCTAATGGACATCCAGACAACATCTCCTGCAAGATATGAAATGTCCAGGGGATGTTAAAAAAACATTCAATTTATGTCTATAAAATATCCTCAGGATGTGTCTATTGCCTCGAGCTGCACGTCCACATAAGGTCCTCAAGACGGTCTCATTACGTCCACAGGAGTTTTCCCTAATATCCAAGGGACATCACAAAGACTTGTCAGTTTTAGCCTGGATGTCCACAAAATGTTTAGGCGATGAATACCCAGGGTGTCCTCGAGCAATATTCAGGCTTAAAAAAAGCTGTGTAAATAAGCCAATGAATTTAATGATATTAAACTTTTCACAAAGGTGCTTTAGGCAGTGCAGTTATCACACTATTATTTAAATGTAGATTTGTAGATTGTCAAAATGAAAAGTCTACTTTCTATTGCACAACTGCAAAACAAAAAGCAAGACAGATCACTGGGTTGATGTTATACTTACAAATGGAACCACACAAAACAAAATTTGATTTTTTTTTGTTTTTAGATGAACAGCCAAAACCAGATTTGACCATGTGTGTTACCATCTGTGAGTAGCAACGTCGACCAGGCGATTTATTTCCTCTTTTTGTACGATGCTTATAAATGAAAAAAAAAGATTCTTGAGTTGTTTTTTTAAATCCTACAGTAAATATGATTATTGTAAGTGCACCACCTAAAGACACCCCTGTCAAGTTTTACTGCACTGCTTTCATTGGCTTATTTATATAACCTTTTTATGACTGTATGGAGCTTGAGAACACATATATTCTTACTTATTCTCACTACTTAAAGTCAAGAAAAATGACCTGTTTGATGAGATGCCAGGTGAAAATAATAAAGTACTAATGAGCTGCTATTTGAATTTTTCGAATTTTTCGGTGCTAGGTATATGTAAGGGCTTTCTATAATAACCCGGTCTACAATTATGAATTTGAGCCCAACATAAAGAACCTGTAAGCCATTAACATGGTGGAATTTTTGAACAATCTCATACTTCCTGCTCACTTTCTCCAGAGCGAGCAACGAACATAAAATGGTCGGGTGATGAATTTGCAAAATACACAATTACTATCTCAATTTAATTATTTTTATTCACGCAAAAAGCTATTACAGTCTGGCGTTACAGGTGTTAAATTCTTTATTATAGTTTATATCACAAGTTTAAAATATGAAGCATGAGAAAAACTTGCAGCCTTCTTGGCAACTTGTTCTTGACAACTTGGGCTTGGCAATCTGGGCTTGGCAATTTGGGCTTGGCAATTTGGGCTTGGCAATTTGTGACTTCTTTGGACCTCATTTTAGGAGTAAACTCATTTTTGTGCACCCTGCAGGAATAAAATTCCTTCAAATATATAATAAGGCACGTAAAGGTTCATATAAAAAAAATATGGGTTCGCAGTGTTTGAGAAGAATGTTAGCCCCTTACCACATTGTATGTTGTTTATGATCCTCATGCTTCTTTTTTAAAAACGCGTACGCATATTTTCAATAATATATTTCATATTTAGAGTAAATCTGTATAATGTCTAGGAACCCCACATGCAGTGGCTCGATCTTCAGAAGTTTTAAACAAAGTTTTGTTGCGGAACCATCGTGGAGGCAGCGTGGCGTGCACCGTTGGCGAAGTAGTTAAGTAAACAAACTTATTTCAGAATTCTAACACTTCATGTCGCTTTCAAAGAAAATTATCTTGGAGCTGACTAGTTCTTGATAATTTAATTTGAAGTTTTCAGCACAACAAGCCTTGGAAGCAAGCTTTTAGGCAGGCATTTGCCGCCCTATTGCCCTACTTTAGAGACAAAAGATTAGCTTGTCGACGTAACAATTTCTGTTATCGTTTTAGAGCGCAGCTCTCAGGCGCCCGTTTCCGGCTTGAGCGGCGTCGCCGTCGCCGTCGGCGTCGCCGTCGGCGTAACCGCGCGGTGCATTATGGGTAAATTTCCCCGCTAAATCTAGCGGAAAATTTCCCCGCTAAATCTAGCGGAAAAATTTCCCCGCTAAATCTAGCGGAAACAATTTCCCCGCTAAATCTAGCGGAAAAAATTTCCCCGCTAAATCTAGCGGAAAAAAATTTCCCCGCTAAATCTAGCGGAAAAAATTTCCCCGCGAAATCTAGCGGGAAAATTTCCCCGCTAAATCTAGCGGGAAAAATTTCCTCGCTAAATCTAGCGGAAAAAATTTCCCCGCTAAATCTAGCGGAAAAATTTCACCATCAATAGCGGAAAAAATTTCCCCGCTAGATTTAGCGGGGAAAGTTTTTCCGCTAGATTTAGCGGGAAAAGATTTCCGCTAGATTTAGCGGGGAAATTTTTTCCGCTATTGATGGTGAAATTTTTCCGCTAGATTTAGCGGGGAAATTTTTTCCGCTAGATTTAGCGGGGAAATTTTTCCGCTAAGCTATTTTTCCGCATCAGAACTTTCCCCGCGAAATCTAGCGGAAAAAATTTCCCCGTCAAATCTAGCGGAAAAATTTTGGTCACGTGACCCGGGGGGTCACGTGACCTGGGGAGTCACGTGACATTCCCGAGGTCACGTGCCCTCGGGTGGGGGGGGTCACGTGACCCCCCCCCGAGAACACGTGTCCCTCAGTACCCTCCCCTCCTCCTCCTCAAGAGCTGCGCTCCAATTCGGCGTTACAGGGAGTGGTAAACGACTTTCACTTTTTTTAGGTTTCTTTTTTATGTACAGCTATGAACGGAAGTCACAGGTTTCTATGTGAATGACAAAAAACACAAAATGATGCATTCACCGGACGCCGTGCTCATAAACAACACGCACATGGGTGGAGTGGAACTCCTAGACTCGATGCTGGGGTACAGTCGGATCCAAACTAGAGCAAAGAATTGGTACCATCGCAAATGTTTCCACATGATGGACCAGACTGCACTGAATGCCTGACTCCTGTGGTGAAGACAAGGTTACTGCAAGACATCGCTGCTCGAGTTCAAATCGTTTGTTGCAGAGGGATTATGCAAAGCAGGGAAGCTGCATGACAGGAAGCCTTCAGGGAGGCCAAACTTTTGAATGAATGCGCACATCCAGGCAAGCAATAGAAGAATCTTTCAACATGCATAACCAACTCGCCTGCATCGCCACATTAATAGAAGAATCCTATTGGCGCCATTGCAACCTACTGATGTACACCTAGACGAGATGGACCACATCTCCACTTGGCAAGAGAAGTGACTGCATTGTAAACTGCCCTTCTGTACTCGCCTGACAGATGTCTCCTTTTCAACAGGGAGCACAACTGCTTCAAGGCATTTCACTGGGAGTGCAATACTGCAACTTCCAGCACTACAGAGGCACAAGGGGTGTCATATTATTTTGTTTGCGCGAGCCTGACAAACTATTGGGGCAGAAATACTTCCCATTACAAAAAAACGTTTCCTTAGGTCATCTGATGTGATACTTGTTTTCTTTTGCTTTCTTTTTATTTTTCCCCATTAAAATAGGCCTTTCTTAATGCAAATGAAAAGGACCCCGAACCGGATGATGTATCATGTGATACGTGACACTATTGTTGCAATAAAGTCACAACTGCGCGATTTTTCTTGAAAAAAAAGCCTGGTTTGGGTACTTTTGTGTCAAATAGAAGGAGTGTAAGTTTTTAGCACCAATCCAAACATTTACGTGGTAAGGGGTTATAATTTCCTATGAGAAACCTCTACAGAAGCTGACTTAGACATTTTCCTTGAACAATCTTAGGTTGGCCTCACTAACTGCCGAGTCCACGCCCCCATTTCTGTACTAAAAGAAAACTTGTTTGTGTAGATATTTCACAATTAGAATACTATCATACAGAGGCACCCACCCCTCTTTTCCCTTTTCTTACATCGCAATAGTAAAAATAGTAAAAAATGGATTGGTTGAAGTATTACAATGTGTTAAAATAATTTACGGAAATGAAAAAAAAAACATACTTGATAAAAAATGTTACCTCAACCCTTTTTTTTTTGTCGGAGCTTGATTCGGCAGGAAGCACGATGCCGCCACTTTTTTATATCGCTTTCCACGTTGTCGATCGTTGCAGAAAACTATGGGTTTGATCTTACAGCGTCTGGAAATTAAAGTAATATAAAAAAATGCAGTTTTAGTGTAAGATGACTGGGCTGAGGAGGATTTAACACGGCAACACATATTAGTACAAACTTAGTCACTAATTTAAAATTAATCTTTCGGATTTCTGATTTAATTTTTTTCAATTAAATAGTGTATTTCAGGTGTTTTTTTATCACAACTTTAGTGATGAACAGAAAAGTTGCATTCACCAGAACTTTAAGAAAAAAAAGCACGTGACCCAAATTTTTGAACGCGGTCCTGCTACCACTAAGAACCAAGAATTAGATAAGGGTTACGCCGTCCAACATCCATCGCCTAAAATCGAATCGAATATCAACATCATCAATGTCCCCTTTAGAGTCAAAGCAAGAGACCGAGTGCAATGAGTCTGAACTTAACACCTTTTCACTCTCTTCTTGAGATGGTAAAGATGTCCTTGCCACCGCCTCCATGGTTTCGGAACCGGCGCCGGCGTGCTCACACGTAGTCTCGTTGCCAAGAACTGCTTGAACTAATGGCGCTGTCAGCGGAATCGGACCCTCGTCAAAACCTTTAAGTAAATGAAACAAGCTGCTTTGTCTAGTACCCGCGCGACCTGCCCAAGACTTAGACTTCGCCTTTGGCATGGAACACGTGGTGCAACAACGAGAAGGAGACCACAGCACGAACCTTTCAAACGGGGGCACCCTTGATGGGAAAGAACAGCTTGTTTTGAACGTGAAGAACTCGTTACGCTCCAAAACGTAGACAACGAAGACACGAGGGGATGAGCGCCGCTAGGTCTCCCGTTGCTCGGTCGGTTGCCCCGTAGAGAGAACGGCAGCACGGTGGAAGTCTGAGCTCTGAGGAAGACTTTACAACTTTTCTTGGCAGCGCAAACACGCAAACTTATTCCGAAACGAAGCATGCTGTCTTCCTGCGCACCTGCAAATAGTTGCAGTTGTAGCTGCTGGTTCAAGTTTAATACGAAACGCAATATAAATAACCGTTCTTTATTAATTCTCATTACACATTTTTACGCTTTATCATTAAAAATAAATAATAATACACTGTATGTATATATTTTGTTTTTAGTGTTTATTCGAATACGCACCAGGGTGACACCTGTTTGAGCGGAAAAGATGGCGTCTGCCCTGTGTCATCGTTTTGGTTCTCGGTCGTCTCAATCATCAGCGTTCGTGCGTTCGCCCTTACGTTCCCCGAAAAGGATGTGCACGAAATTTGACCAAATTTGTTTGTCAAAACAGGCCAAGCAGGTGGTGGGCTCTCGACTGTCGCTGTGTAGCGTTCGGTGAGCAAACTCGCCGGCGTGATTGAGCCACTGGCGTCCGTAACAAAGCAGGCCTTGTGTGATATGTTTATTTTATGGCAGGAGCACATGGTGGATATTATACAAAGTTAAGCCACGGTAACACGCACCGTGAAGCAAATATATAGTGTGCTTATGGAAAAAAGTATGGGGAATTCGTGGCGAGAGTATATGTATCAGTGCCACTCTAATCGCGTGCATTAACACATAACGGAAAATGCTGGGTATTGCGTCAGTGTCTTCTATTGTGTCGCCCCATCTTTAGACCTAAGGCAGCCAGCAGAGTGAAGTCGGATGAAATTCGATGCCCGAGAAAGCAAACAGGAGCGGTGGAAATAGCACAGTGTGTGAGCGCCAGACGAGAGGGCCGGCGTCGCGGTCACGTACAAAAGAACACGTTTACTACTGATCGTATCCTAAATATTTTAATAAATATACCCTTGCGCTTTTTCCAAATCACTGGGACATCGGAGAAAAGTTTACATGCTGTATTGACATGAAGAAGGCAGCGTTGATGCAAAACGTAACCAGAACCGGCGCCCAAATGCCCAAACTATTTGGCGGAGTAACACATTTAACACATGTGCAGAGTCGCGAGGTCTTGCCTCCTCTCCGTGTTTTTCTCTCCACTTGCCCCTCTCGACTTTATCCTCTATCCCTCTCTCTCTCGGCCCCGCTCTTCCCTTGAAAAGCCTCCAAACTTTACGACGCATGATCCGGGCTCTATAATCGCTTTAAAGCGGATCAAAGAAGTAAGGGGGCAAGGCTAATTAGTATCAATAAATTCGGAATGGCTACTGCGAAAACAACGAGTGAAAAACAACGTTAAAATTGACCACCCTTTCCAGTGGCGTGATGTGGCCTCTGGGAAAACTTTCTGGCAGAAAGGTAGGTGCGTGTGTAGCATTCATTTTATCCTACTGAGCGAATGCTGTTGCCAACTTTCACAGCATCCATTTTGCACTAAGAAACCCCTTCTAATTTCTCGGGAGCAAGGTCTACGGCAAGCCAAGGTATACAGCCCAAGCCGTGATTGTTCCCGCCAATGACGTCGCTTTTCCAAGATTGCCGTAATTTCACTTTTAATATATAGTAAAGACGACATTCCGTAACTTCGCGATATTGTTTTACTCACACATAATTTAATGTGTTTATTTGGCCATGCCTATTGCAGTGCTAAACCAATTTTGAGGAAGACCGACGACCGCCTCCCCCCGAAAAAAAAAATCGGCGGTGTTCCTTTTTAAACACAGCGGCTTATTATATATATATATTAATGAAAGGAGCCGCTTCGATCCTCCATGCATACTCCGTTTCACCTTAAAGGGGCGATGCAACAATTTTTGTACTTTGCGCAAATACCGCTTAAAACGGATCCCTGACGTTAATGACCTATGAAACACGCGTTCATTTTTTACCCCAGGCAATAAAAGTTCCAAAAATAAACTTAAAAAAAAAAACGAGCACGGTTCACCCTTTCAACTCGCAGCCAGAATAAGCGGCCACGTGATCTGGGGCGATTAGATGCCGCCAATGTTGATCATAGCCACGCGCTGGGGTTGGCAAAGCACAGGGCAGGCGCTGAGTTCCAGACATTGTTATGGCTCGACTATTGTCGTCGTTGCAGCGATTGAACACGGGCAACTACCCGAATGCATGTCGAGGCATCGATTGTCACGAGTCTAGATCGACTGCATATACGCAGTCTTCGCGTCCACTGTGTGAGCAGCATTTGAATATCGTCACCGCAAAGCTCGATGACGCATTCCTGGGGATCGTACTGTTGCCATTGTCCCCACAGCTCCGTCATCAAATTTCGCGAAGGAGAGACTGAAAGAAAAGCTCCGCTTTCATCTTTTGAATAATGCCGCGACGAAGACGTTTCTTGGTCAGTGGTGTTGAGTTCGAATATTCTTGGGTCCCACTAGTGCCAGGAAGCTGGTGTGTAAAGTAAGACATATTCCTACCCAATGTCGTTGCACAACCCCTTTAAGTCTGAGCGAACCCAAAGTTAAGGTTCCGTACCTTTGGCTATGCTCGGACTTAAGGTGTAACGGAGTATTGATCTAGTTAACCTTCTGTATGCAGTCGGCGCTCGAATATATAAAAATAAAATATGTTGCTAAAGAATAATGCAACATCTTCTCGCAATTTACTTGACTTAACGCAAAAAAAAAATCTTGTAGAAACATTGCATAGATATTACAAATTGACATTCTACTAAAGGTAATTGCATGATATCTACTGGATGTCTTCTAAATATTTTATTATGATATTTAATATTTGGACAATCTGTGGACATCCTGTGGATATTCGCGGTTGTCTGGGAAGACACCAAAAAGTGTAATTCTAGGCCATCACGAATAAAAAAAAAGAAAGAAAAAGACCGAGTTCTACTCACGAAGACCTATTGTAAGGTCAGACGAAATAAGCATGCGAAATTTCTGCGTTGTCGATACGCGTGGTGCATGAAGTCACTCTGCTTCTGCGTCCTAATCTCATTGCCTTCTCCGAGGTAGCGGGCGCGTTGCTTTCATGAAATAATAATTATGATGAGCTCCCCGTGCCACTGGGACAAGGCAGTCGTGCTTAACGAGATGTCTTTGCTATTAATAATGCAGCTACATCGGGGACCCAAGCCCAGAGCACACGTGAGACAGAGTCGCGCCGTTTGCCATTTTACCGACAAAAACGATGGGTTACTTGAAAGGAAGGCAAGGCGCAAATATTGTCACTATCATTGTGTGATTGAGTATAGAGCAGTTTGGATAGGGAATACGCAATAAAAATTTAGTGATTGCATTTCCAACGAGGAAGAAAGAGAACGAGAGAAAATGTTTACTTTAGGTTTCTTGCACTTGACGTCCCTTCCGAACACCCGACCAAGCAGCGTGTTGGAAAACTACAAACTTCAACAAAACGTTGTCTTTCCCCGTTTCTTTTTTTTTTTTGTCACCGTCAACATTTTCCTTCCTGCCCCTTATGGGGTTAAATTCATCATGATGAATAAGCCGTCCGTGGTTCTGCTGCTGACACCTTTGCTACACGTTGCAGTATTTTTCCTATTCGCATGCACGTAAGCGACTTCTTGTTAGAGCAGTCATTCGGTGTGAGTAAAGCTCAGGACTAAGCAGACGGCTCACTAGACGACGGAGCTCAAGGAGTACAATCGGGGACGAATTTGGAAAGATTAAACCCAATATTACTCCGTTTTGATTATTTTATTTTTGAAGCCGCCTCACGTCGTTAGCCGGTTGTGATGGAAAAAAAATAATAATGAAAGGGACTCGGAATTCCAGTGCGGTGAATGTAAGAAGGTAGATATTATTTACAGTCGTGTAAGCAAGAGGTTAGAAAAACAATGGTGTGGCTATATATACAAAGTTCAGTTCGCCGCATCCGCTTACGGCCCGGCGGTGCACGTCGACGTAGGCATGGCGTTCGTCTTGTCCAGGGAATGCTCAGCTGCTTGCTAGGCACAGGCGGAGGCTTCTCAGCGAGCTTGGGAGAAAGCCCCACGGGCCTGGACTCGCCCGTCCGGGCTCCTCCTTGGCTGCCGGGACCACCGCTGTCGAGCCGGGTTCCGTGTCGTGCCCGCCCTTCTTTCACGAGGCACGAGCCTGTGTCTCATCATCCCTTCTCGTCGTCCTCTTCGTTTTTTCCGTATATCTAACTCTTGCCTTGAACTTCTTTGTCTTCTAACTATTTCCGTCTTCCCCCCGTTCACTGCGTCTTCTTCCTCGTTCTTTGCTCAGTCCAACTCACAGTTTTCACGCGCGTCGTTTTCCTCAACGTTGGTTCTCCCACATCATCACAATTACCCCCCTTTTACGACAATTGTTTACCAAAACTTTTAAGCAAAAAAAATAAGACCTGTAGTCAAAACAAACAATTGTTACCAACCCACACGACAACGACGAAGCGTGTTTCATACGTAGGTAAACTATTACTTCCCCCCAAAACAAAACCAGTAACAGCTGTGGGCGCATTACATACGACTTTAATAGTCAGCTCCAACATTCAGGCAGCCCTTAATGTACGTCACTTTAAAATCGTACTCGGCGAGGAACAAACTCCATCTCAATAAGTGACTATTCATATGCCTAGAAGAGTGAATGTATTCAAGCGGCTGGTGGTCGCTCTATACAGTGAAGCGTTTGCCAAACAAGAATATGTGGAATTTTTGCACTGCCCACACGAGGGCTAGGCATTCATGCTCAATGGTGGAATACGCGACTTCTCGTGGCAGTAACTTCCGGCTTGCATACGCAACCGGATGCAAGACCCCTTCATGTTCTTGCATTAGTACATGCATGTGTGTATGGTATTAAAGCTATTAATTATGGGCAGTATTTCAGGATGGTTATTTAATAATTGTGGGATCTGAATAAGTAATTTTTGACTACCATACGATTGAAAACGAGCGTGTTGGTTAATAGATACAAAAAATTTGAAAGTATAAAACAGAGAGGACGAGGGCGGGAACAGGACATTTTTCATTTAGCAACAACATAGAATGGCACAACGATAAAACCGCCCCCAAGGGTCTCAACGTTCTCAAAGAGGGAAAGGAGATAGAGTTATAAAGGAAAGGGAATACACTAATTATAAAAGTTTGAAAAGCGCATCGGTAATTTAGTTATCTCCGATTGCTTAGAATTCAACCTTTGTCATTGTCAGTGATAATGCAGAATTATTCTGGTTTGCAGTCAAAAAAGGGAAATGTACTATAAATATAAGAGTTTAAAAAGAGAGAAATCATCGAAAAAAAGATTCCACTAAGCTGTGGCAGGCAGTACATTGGACAGACTGGGAGATACGTCAACCACCGACTCAGAAAACATAACTTGGAAGCATCAAAGGCTTCAACTGAGTCTTATCACCCCATTGTCGCTCACAGCCGCACGTGCGATGACTGTACTCCTCATTTTTCTGATACTAAAATACTGGGCGGGCACAAGAACAGATTTGGGAGAGAAATCATCGAACCATTTGCCATGGGGACTGTTAATAACAACATTTCTGCACCTTCATTATCATTGACAAAGACAGAGGTCGAATTCTTAACACCAGAGTTGACTAGAATATTGACACCTCGTCGTGACGCTACAGCTTTTTAAACTCTTATATTTATAGTACATTTCCCTTTTTTGACTGCAAACCAGAATAATTCTGCATTATCACTGACAATGACAAAGGTTGAATTCTAAGTGATGGGAGATAACTAGATTACCGATGCGCTTTTCAAACTTTTCGAATTAGTGTATTCCCTTTCCTTTATAACTAGTATCTCCTTTCCCTCTTTGAGAACGTTGAGACCCTTAAGGGCGGTTTTATCGTTGTGCCATTCTATGTTGTTGCTAAATAAAAGACGTCCTGTTCCCGTCCTCGTCCTCTCTGTTTTATACTTTCAAATTTTTTGTAACTACCATAATTGGTGCGTATTCTCGACTGTAGGTAGTGCGTATGACGGAAGGTGTATGTGGACGCCCTGTTGATGTAATTCCCTTCCACGAACTCGGGGTGTAGTTTAAATTTGTGGAACATGTATATTGCCAATTTCTGAGTGAGTGATTGTTCTACTGTAAGAAGGGAGTATTTGATGAAATATGGGCGGGAGTGTTCCCGATCTGATACATTGGTGATTGAGTGCACTGCTCTTTTTTGCAATAGAAGTAACTTAGATAAACAGGTCTTTGAGCATGTACCCCACACTAAACTGCAATAGCTTAAACGGGAATGAACAACAGTACAATAGAGCTGGTGCTTTAACCAAACCGGAAGAATATATTTTAGCTTACTTATAATTCCGATCGCCCGTGATATGTCGGGTCGAATACGATCCATATGGTAAGACCTATCTAAATTTTCTTGAAAAAATACCCCTAAAACCTCTGGGTTTTTTTCGTAACCGATTTCAGTGTTGCTAAAAGGACTGCTTAGTTTTAGAATAATAGTTCTATTTTTTTGCTCTAAATATCATATACTTAGTTTTTTCAACCTTTAATTCTAATTTATTGCACGCCAACCACGTACTTAACTATCATCCAGTTGTTCGCTAATGTTTCAAGCTGATCTATGTTCGGTCTAAAAAAAAAATACGTTTGTGTCATCTGCATAAAGTACAATATCAGGAGTATGTGGTATGTTAACAATATTATTAATGTACATTAGAAATAGAAGTAGTCCGAGGATTGATCCTTGGGGAGCCCCATAAATCGTATTACCGGTTTCTGATTTTTCGCAACCAAGGATGGTGTATTGGACACGTTCCGATAAATAACTTTGAATGAGTTGTTGGGCAAGACCTCTTATACCTTAATTATAAAGTTTTTAAGGATTAGTTCATGCTTGATCGAATCGAAGGCTTTTTTTTAAATCTGAAAATACTCCTTAAGTATAAAACTTGGTTTCGAAATTAGTTAAAATTTTATTCTTAATATTCAGTAAAGTGTCTTCAGTAGATTTTCCTTTCTGAAAACCACATTGCTGTTTTACAAGAAAATCATGTCTGCTAAAATGATCCGTCAGTCTGGAATTCATTATCTTCTCTATTACTTTTGAGAATATAGGTAATATGGATATGGGTCTGTAGTTGTTTAAAGCATTAATTGGTGCACCTTTCTGTATCATCGACACTCGGGCGATCTTTAGTTTCAGAGGAAATACCCCTGTGCCTAATATTTTATCACAGATTGCAGAAAAAGCAAGACTAATTATATTAGAAATTGCTTTTTTAGGTTTAACTTTTAATTCATCATCGCCATACGCGCCGCTGTTTTTAATGAATTTATAACGTTAAAAACTTCAGTCCCCGTGGTTGGTGATAAAAATATAGATCCTGGTGGGTGTGTCGACATATAAAATTCAAAGATTTTTTCGTGGAACGAGGATGACGTTGGAGCGCCTGAATGTAAAAAATGGGCATTAAACAAATTTGCGAGTGTTTTACCTGAATAATCAACACCATCTATTCTAAGGACACTGGGGATAGTGCTACTCAACTTAGACATCAGTTCCTTTGCTGCCTTCCATACTTTCATTGGATTATGTTGACTTGCAGTAAATTTATTTTTGTCATAGTTTGCTTTAGACTTCTTTATGTCGGAGCTTAACTAGTGTCGTATCTTTTTGCATTCGATCAATTTATTGATGTCTTTATTTTTTTATAAATGCATCGTAAAGCTTGTTTCGTTCATTTATTCGTTTGAAAAGAGATTCCGTAATCCAAGGTTTCCTTGACCTCTTATGCCTTTTGGCTTTTCTAAACGTAAATGCCTCGTCATAGGCAGCCTTTATTTTCTCCGAAAACTTATCATAGGATTTACTGGAGCTTGGCCCACTCTGTATGTCATCCCAGTTTATGTTCAATACAAGCGCAACAAAGTGTTCGGTACTGTAGTCGTTTATATCTCGACGGTAAGGGCTACTGATATTCGTTTCATTGCAGCTAATGTTTTCACATGAAACAAAACAAAACAGGGGTAAATGATCACTTAAGTCACTTGTAATTACACCGGATACTATGTCGTTAGCCATTAAATTGGTTATACACAAATCAATTAAGGTCTCAGTATCAGAGGTAACGCAAGTAGGCAGATCTATAATATTTTCAAACCCGTTTGATTGCTCAAGATCTAAAAATGCCAACTGCCATGAGTCAGATAGCATCAGATTGATATTAAAATCACCAACAAGTATCACAGGCAATTTACTATCAGAACAATCCTGAAAAATACCTTCCAGAAATTCAAGAAATACACCAAGGGACCCAGAGCGAGGTCGGTATACAATAGCTATAATGTAATTACGACACTTCACAAGAAGACACTCAACATTTGAACAGACACAAGTATATTCGCCAATAACACTGCATACCATGTTAATTTTATAATAAAGGGATACTTCGTCACCTTTCTTTTCACTACGAAATATTCCTACATGGTGTAACCTTTAAATTCAAGAATATGAGAATCAGAGGTAAGCCATTATTCAGTGAAGGCTAAAATATCAAGGCGGTGCTCTAGGCAGTCAAGAAATTCTTCAATGTCGTCACAGTTGTTTATAATACTCATTGTATTTAAATGAAATAAAAATAACATACTGTGGCTACGCGAAATGTTTTCTTGAACAAGATCTCTCAAGGAAGTTACATATAATATCCCTGTTCCGTAGAACTTTTCAATAACAAGGAAGATAAAAAAAAAAAGAAAAAGAGCGTGAGTGCAGTTCTGTTTATCGTATCAATTCCAGGTCTTCTTCGGGTTCTATCCTGATAACGCGGTCACCGGCCGCTTTCCTCATTAGGCAACCCGAGCGATCTGGAGAATACTCTTTCCGGGGGGGGGGGGGGGGGGGGGGGGGGCGCATGGAAGGGCCAGTGGGCGTAGGACGAAAGAAGACGAATGAAAGCGACATGAATTCGGCGAATATCTCAAGCCGGAAGAGGCCTGCATCATGGTCTCCTGCAAGCACACTGTAACTTGAACTTGAACTTGTTTATTTCCGCACTATTGTGCCGAGAGCACTAGGCAAAACGCCTCCACAAGGTACCGTGACTGGGTCTGGTGCCCCTGCACTTCCAGGTTATGGTAATAAAAAAAAACACTATAAACGATAATTTGTCTGGAGAAAACACGCACGCACATATTTTTTAAGCAATTGACTTCACTGCTTAATTTGTACGAAGATGAGCACATTCCAGAATATTTTGCGTCGGATATTAATAGTAGCTTCATGATTTGTAAGTTGGGAGAAATTAGGCAAAATACGATTCGACGTAAGAAAGGCGTGAATGCCTGCAAGGTCAAAGACAGAGCTTTCATGGTCAAGCAATGACTGTACCCCGAACACTTCAATATTTAGGAAATACTTTTCTATAAGTAAGTGGCACTTTCGACGCTTCTGGCCGTTATTCTCCGGTATTCAACATATGACACACGAATCGAATACCATCAACGTGATATTTTCTGGTGAGATAAAATATACTTTTTACTATATATTTATGTTAATTGAATCACTGACTTGATGTTACCGCACCCGTTTCAAAGTGTTAAATGTTAGGGATTTATCTAGAGGTATGCGGTAATGTTTTCTATGGAATTCAGCGGATATCCTCGAACACATTGCGCGCTTCTCGCGCGTCGTATTGTTGATCTGCGTACTTTGATTCGGTGATTTGCTTCGTTCTCTTGTAAAGATGAACAAACTGAAGAAGTGCGATACATATAGTTTCAGTGGAGGCTATGGCTCACACAAACAATTCCTTCGGTGGTGCACATTAGGAAAGTTCACACGCCTAACGGTGTAAGAAAAATGTTCGTGAAACTTACACATGCGGCTACACCCTTTCACCCCCTCGAGTAATACGCACATCTTTATTTGTAAAATAAGGCGCGTTGCGTGGAACACCTTTCATTTTTGATGGACCGAGGAATGGTGTAAATGAAGGTGCAACGGTTGAGTCGGGCAAGCACCCTTTTTGAAGGGCGCTTACTGCAGTAACACCCGCTTCAATCAAATCCTGCAGAGGTTCCTTCAGCAATTGTGTCGAATAAGTATTGTCAGTGCCAATGCCTTTCACTTGTAGATACATTTCTTAGATGCATTTCTTAGGGTGTCGCTGGAACGCGTTTAGATTTTTAGCAGTAGTACAGGCTCTTTCACACCTTTAAAGGTTTAACATTTTAGTACATGGACCATCATTTGGGGATTTTGGTTCTAATGCATATTGCAGTGCCCTGGTTGCTGTTTAGATTCTGAAATATTGTATGCATACGTAATAAAAGACTCTCTTTCTTAATAAAAAAACACACATAAAAGTTGCTTCGCCGTCATCCGGAAGAAAAAAAAAACAATAACCTTCAATTGCTAAAGACTAAAACGGTTTCCAGTGTGTCCCACATTTCAAATGAGATTTCTAATTAAGCAAATAAATGCAGGTCGAAATGCAGCTAAGAATTGTGAACGATATGGAGTCGATTTCGACTTCCCGCGCGGGAGTTTTAATGTACTTTTGTTAAAAAGCTACCGATTCGAAGGCAATCGAGCAATGTAGATAGCCCAGAGATGTACTTGAGAATATCTGCTGTTAGCATCCTCAGAAGAGTGCCGCTCATGCGTAATAAGAAGTTCGCTTAAATATTGAAAGCATCGTTTAAACTGCAACTGATTAATACCAACTCTTCCTTAGAGTCAAATGGCTGCGTTTACAAAGCAACGACGTGAGTCGGTTCTCGTCCTGACGACATTACTGAACTCGCTACTTTAGTTACTGAACTCAGTTCACTCGCGATTAGCGTAAGTTAACCGCTACAGGCTTAGATATTAGGGAGTTTTCGTTAAGCACTTCTGCGTCTTCACAACGCTATCATGAGCGAGGATGGCGCAGCTTGCGTGGCGTTTGATGGTCTGGGCCGGAGTGCGATTTCCCCTTAATTGCGGGCTGCCGGCAAGGGTGCTCTAATGGCGTGGGTCTCGCGACACCAGCGAGAATCGGCGAGACGGGCCAGCCTCCTCTCTCTCTTCCTCGCCCGGAATGGAGGGACGGCGCTCGGCTCTTCCGCTGCCCACTTCCCGTGGATGGTTTCCGGTCCCGGGTGGGATCCCGCTTCTTGGCAAAGTTATGCCTTGATTTTGGAACTTGAAATTGTAAACCTAAGAACGCAAACAAGCTAAACAGAAAAAAATCTAAAGTCTGACCGACAAGCGGAAGTGACTGGCTTGGCTACGATACGCCAAATAAAGTTGTTCTGTTAAAATGGATCAAGGAAATTGAAATAGCCAAAATATCTGTCATTTTTTTTCGCAACAAGCAATACAACTTGTTGGCGCTAATTTCAGTCATGAGACAACGAAAATGGTAACAGTTTGTCAAATCCAATTGAATTTATTTTTCCCCTTGTTTTTCAGAACCGTCAGTAGCACAAACCACAGAACAGTAGTCGGCAGTGGGATGACACGATAGACTAAAGTACGGTTCTGTGACTGCAGAATCGGTTGCTGATCTTGTAACGGATTACCGACAGCATGAGGAAGATGCAAAAATGGTTTACAAAAACTGCCTAATACGTTGATTTGTCGTTACCAAGTCTAAGAAAGAACACAAAAAAACGGCAGTGCTTTGTCCATGCAAACGTCACGAGTTAGTGCATGACGTGTGAAATGCTTACCTCATGCTTAGTGTAACGTGTAAGAATCATTATTAGGTTGAAAGTCTGCTCGCAACTCGTTATTCGTGGAGCTAACCTCGGATTTCGCAGATACCGACTCACCATTCTCCATGTACGGAGGAAAATATACTCGAGCCTATACATCGGTGCGTAGAAGCTGTCTTACAAACTCGAAAACGACCTGCGTATTACGACCAGACTATTCGAGAAAAAGGTCTTCAATAGTTTTCAAGAGAACTTAAGAAGTGACTAACTACACGGATTTTTAAACATCCGTAAAATTAATTTTGCATTAAAAACACAGATGATTGAGCAGAAACAGGCCCATATAGTCAATTTATAAGGGAAGGACCATAAAAAATAAATATTATCTGTGACATCATCGCTTAGTCACATTGTAAACACTCCTGCCTCTTAATACGAACTCGCACACTCTAAGAAACCGGGGTGGTATATTTTCTCCCAATGCATTTGTGAGAGCCACTCACTGCATTCTACAAGATAAGCTTCTCCAAAATTGCCAGGTGGAAATGATAGTGGCTAATTATAATTTACATAGTGTTTTAATTCGCCTCGTATTACTGGGACAACTAGAGAATGGAATAGTGCTTCTGGGGTGCGATTTTGGTCACAGCGAAAGCGAGATGTAATCTGGTCCATTTGGAGCGAGCTATAAGGACATTAGTGCAGATCGTCATTCTGCTAGCACGAACAAAAACACAATTAGCCTATACTGTGAAGCATTAGTCGTATAACAAACTAACGCTACAAAACAGCTTCCCGTCATCTCCTAAAAAAGCCGGAAAACAAACAACCGAAAAAAAAAAGAAACAGATCGATTGATTGCTACGAACTGAGTGCCGTGGCAAAAAAAGTAATATCGGATCCAAGCCCGAACTGCTATCGTCCGCTATTTAACCCAAAATGCCATCGACAACCCGCGTTTCTTTTGCCAAGTTGTGATGCCGTATACCAAAAGAGCTGACTCTGACAGGTGGAAGAAGGAAAACTCTGCCCAAGGAGTCGCAATACCTTTCTCAGGATCAGAGTGTTGATGAGAAATTTGCACCGAAATAACGCCCGATCATGGAGTCGTTGAGAACGTAAGAGCCAGAGGGCGCGCTAGGCAGTCCCAAACATCTCATTACCGCTCAGCAACCAATGAGATTGTAACATTAGCCGACGAGACAGCCAAGGTACCTATCGCGAAAGGAGACGCAGGATCATAAAGAAGTCAGGCTCTGTGTTACTTAAGCCGCCAGTGACTATAAACTCGCGTGCGGGTAAAACGTATCTCATTAGTGGATAACGCTTACCTAGCAGAAAGCTGTGACGTCACGTCCAATCAGCACTCGAGAAAGTTCTCGATCTCCACCAAGACACCGAAATCGGACTCCCGTAGTAGTATCTCTTCCTCAATTTCCAAACGATGAATTTATACTAAAATCGAGGTTTCATGAGGCACTAAAAGAAGTAGGTGCTAGAAATTAACGCTATTCATAAATAATATAATTATATAATTAAACAAGGTAGAAACAACGTAAAATCACGGAGAGAAGACACGTACCACACCGTGACGATGTTGGAGCATACAAGACATTGCTGGTTTTCTCCGTTATTCTCCTTATTAAAGGACTGTCATCAAAACTACTATAGTGGAGGATTGTGAACAGTTATATTAGTGGCCTAAAGGGTAAATTTCGATGCTTGCCTTGCCAGTACCCTTTCCAAATAAAATCCCCAAAAGTTCTA